ACGTACGAGATGCGCGGCAATTTACTATGGACTCTTTAATAAGTGACATGTGCTTCTATATGCCCAAAAATCCAAAAAGTTAGCTTTAGACGAAGAGGAAAAATGTGCAAGAAGTAAAAATTAAAAGAAAATAAAAATTAAGGCCTGGAAAAGTAGATGTACAAAGGGAGAAGCTTTTTGACATCCATTTTCACTGTATATACTGCAAACAGCAATATCTCAATAAAAATAAATAAAAAAAATATGAATTAGTTATTATTACGTTGATATAAGGCTACATACATTACAACCCCTACAATTACTTCGAAATGGGAGTCGTACGTATCTCGCATGAAATTCGTGTAGCATACAATCCGTATTCGTCTCGCCAATGTGGGCCCAACCTTAAAAGTTACGGAAACGTACCTACCTACCTTTATTTAAACTAAGAAGAATAAGAAAGTTACGGTCAGGAAGTCCACTTAGGATAGACCTTCTCATGAGGGCGCGCTATGTACCAAAACAGGAAACAGTTGTCACAGCATACGTTTTCATATAATAAACTTAGTAAAGATTGACGAAATAGTAGTGTAATTAATTTGTTGATTAACTCTAACATGGATCTACGTCAAATGACGACCAAATCAATCAACTATTTAAGACAAGATTCAGTAAAGCTCAAGGCAATTAAGGGTTGGAAGGTTTTTATTTTAAAAGAACCTTGAACTATACCTAATATTATCCAAACTAAGGGATTAAGTGGAGAACATATTTAAGACAAGATGCTTCTGTTCAGGACAGTTTCAATTTTTGTACTTTCTGTTCATAAAAAACAACCAGGTGGCCGGTGTGTTAACCTAAAGAAAATAACGCATAGAGATCTTAACAACATCGCCGCATCATTAAGTTCGAGCCTTATGACGCATTTCGTTGTGATAATGAGCATCGCGTTTATATGTACTTTCCGCAGAGTTGGACTTTCGCCAACTTTGTCGTCCACATCCCATGTCGAATTTAAAGTAGTCACTGAAGAGTCTAGCAATGATCCGTTGGACGCCTTGTCTTTTTATTTTCCCCTTTTATTTTTGTTAGACACGCTGACGGACGAAAGTTTAGAAGAATTAGCAAAATAGTCCTCGAAGTAATTATATTATAACAAAAATGCCTACGCGTGGACTGTTTAAATTGAATCATTTCTAAAAAGAAAAACAAAAAGGTATCATTCAAAAGCTTACATATTTTAAATGTATTCAATTCGTAATTACGTTAAATGTCTAAACGAAATATAATTCAATTATTAATTTGGATTTAAAGTTATTTAAAATAACGCAACTGGATTGATGAGTCTAATTAATTAAATCTTGCAGATACTTTTAGTTATTAATGCCCTTTATACTGATATACTGATATACTGATATACAGGCACATATTATTTATGTATTAATAATTTTCAAAATCAAAATCCTTGAAGCATCTACAAAAATAAAGTATTTTTCTTTAATGCTTGAAATTACTAGACTATTTACATACGTCAAAAAAATAATTTTGCCATAGCTAATTGAGGGTAATGAAAGTAAAAAGAAAAAGCACTAAAACAAGCAATCTTTTCTGACAAAATCGTGAATAATTCATTATCTTTATCGATGACACCATTACAGAATGCCTCATTGCAAAGAATTTATTCTACATAAAGAAACTACACCCACTGCGGTTTTTTAAATGTTAATGAAGTCGTAAATGACTAANAGGCAACAAAATATTTTTAATGTATTTGCAAATGAAATTAACAGAAACCGATTTATTTCAATCATTAATTTTGTTATTAAACTTAATACTCGTATCAATAAACTAATATGGTCTGCTTGTCCCAAAAATAGTTATTTTGTGGTTTTGGAACTTTTTTATTAATGTTAAACAACAATAAAAAAGTACCAATTAATTAATCCAGTTCCGGAACAATTGAAAGATAAAAAGAGACGTCACCTGGTTTTGATGATAGAGAAGAGTTCCATGAGACTCTTCAATATGTTATTATAAAAAACGGATTAAGAAATGAATGGTCAATTAAAATGTTTACAATTTACATAAGTTTATAATTTTTTTACTAGGCTTCGCTATGAAGGTAAATCATCGTCAGTTATCTAAGTGAGAAGCTTTTAATTCCACTCATGTCTATAAATATGTCTTAAGTGGTTCAGACGATTGGGCTGTAAACTCATTATCCTTTTCAAACGGAACATACAGAACAACAAAATAAAATATTGAGACACGTGAAACAAATACATGGTCCTACCGTTTACCATTTTAATATCGTAGAAACGCAATAAGGAACAATTTCCGTTCAAAACTACAAAAGCATATCAAGAGTGAAGAAGAATTATCGAAAAGAATTAGAAGGTACAGTAAGGACACCCTGTACTTAAAACCTCCCCAAACAGAAGTGCAGCAAAAGTATGATTATACAACCAATCCTTATCGTTTCGGTTACGGTGGCACACTCCGTAATTCCTGTGGGACAAAAAAGGAAATCGAGAAAGGTCACTCACTCACATTTAATGAGAACAACTCCGTTGCGATTATCCTCCATCATCCTCCTCTTGTTTACGTTTCAAACAGTCACAGTGTCACGTTCCAGCAGCATTCCCATACCACAAGAACCATAACAACAACAACAACAACAAATAACGTTAACATTAATTTAGCGGACACGAGCGGGCCGCAGGGGGTTGAAGCAGAACCCGCATCACGTTGAGCGTGGTTCCAAGTTCCAACTACCTTCTACTCTCGACGATAATTCCACTAACAAACCGTTCGTTCGTTCGACTATAGCACACCACGTGCACCAAAGAGTCGACTGCTGCAAACAAAACGAACATCGACATTCATACGTTCCAAAGCAAGCCGTGTTTGTTGTTGATGTTGGCCATGCCATACCGTGTGCTCGCTGCCTGCCTTTTTCTTTCTTCCTCCTTACAGTCCGTCGATCCGGTTGCTCACCACGATACGATGAGGTAAGGTGGCTCGTACGTACAAGAACAACACTACGACAAAACCGTAGAAAGCCCTACGCTACGGCACTAACCGAGACTGATCCGGCTCATGTTATGGCGATTAAGTAGAGAGAAAGAAAAAGGTGGATGATCTCTTTTATTATATTAAACGTCGTGTACTGCCTGCAGGCGAAATTCCATCCATCGAGTATTCCAAAACAAGAACGACGATTTCAGAAGAAACGTAGTGGAATAACCTGAACTCAATTAAAAAGAAAGCTATAAAATGACGATTGCGTTTTTGAAAACTACCACAATTGCCGGCAATTTCGTCACCGAGAACTCGATTATATCGCAAACCCTATTTTAAACCTTCAGAGATAGCAATTTTAAAAACTCACTTTGTAGTAGACGATACCTAAAATAAGGAACCTTGGTGCAAAATTTCAAGCTTTCTAATACGTTGGTTTGGGCTTTGATCGATGCATGAAACTTTGAACCCCCTTTTTATCCTTTTAGGGGATGGATTTCAAAAAATTCTCTCTAAGTCTGTAGATGGATTGACATTATACAATGTTAATCATTAGAACCCACCTGTGCACCTGTAGATTCATAAATTCTGAAGAGCAACATGCTAAACGTAATTATCCTTTTTATCGTTCCACTAGAAACCCAAGCTCCCCAGGAAGGTACATCACATAAAGGCTTCTCTGTTTCTCTATACATACTGTGTATTTTCACGTATATAAACATTTTAAATTTTTTATCTACTTATATGAGAGTATCTATCTACACAGAAAAGTCCTTCTGGACTCTCCAATGCAACTGAAGTGCAGCAGGACTTATGCCACTGATATTAGTGAATTTGTTCCTGTAAACATTTATTGCTTTTGAATAAGGTGGTGATAATTTTCTTTTTATTTTACTTTCGAAATAAATTTCATAAATGATAATCATCCTTCAAACACAAATGTGCATTTGTTGCATTTACTACCAGCGATACCGACCGATATGAATTAATACAGCTGCAACTTTTCATGGTTTAGTAAATTTAAATCTGGCCAAGTGAAAATTCAATACAGATTGCAATTTCGTGTGTTCATCGTATAACAACGCTGCAAAGTTTAGAAAACTCCTCTACTGATTCATTACATTTTTCGCCATTTTAATTTCATGAGCAATTACCTTTTGGTACTAATTCCTGAAATAGTATGCAGGTCATTAGGGGCCACATGACGAGTAGTGTTGCAACTACTCTGTCCGCAATTGCGGAAGTTCCGCATACGTTTTCACATCCGCTTCAGCTTCTGGTTCCGCATTTTTATAATCGAAATTTATCAGAACTTATCTTTTTGAAAATCAATATATCGGAACAATAAAACCATTTTATTACTTGTATCTGTTGGCTGAACTTGGCCGTTTTTAAAGCAAAATTTAAACGAAATTGCTCATTGCAAAGCTGAATGTTGTGCAGGTACCTACAGCCAGCTTTCAGTGACCCCTCAGTAACATTGTGTTTGTATTATTATCAACCGTTTATGTTTATAAAGTATTAGCGTCAATTGTGCATTACAGCCGACAAATTTTATTTTCTTATTAGTCTTCTATTTTAATCTAAAAACGTCCAGGACTTTCAGCTCCCTGTAAGTCAGTTCTCCTAATAATTTCATTTCGAAAATACTAATACAGTTATAGCGTTTATTTACTTTGTTTTGTGTTTGTTCAGTGGTGTCAATTTTAAGTTAAAAGTGCAATTTTGAAGACAAAAAAAGTTCCATTTGAGATTATTTTGTTGATGTTTTTTAGTGTGGAAATTGCTGTTCATAAATTCACTAAATTTTTTAATTCATTTAAGCATTATGCAACATCAATAAGTCGACAAAAACTAGGTATGAAAACTGTACTTATTAAATGAGACCGAAGCAAATATTTTTGAACAGGTAAACAAGACGAATTTTTCCAATAATTTGTTTCCTTAGAGATTAGGTGTAGAAAATCGCATCAAAAAAGGTTACAAAACAAAAAACTTACCCTTAAGGCTATCGAGACTTTTCTTCCTGACAAAGGGTTCCCCTACAAAGAAAACAACATATTATATTATTGGATTTGAATTTTTATAAAAATTTGGATACCAACGAGCTAAGGCGAGCTAACAAAAGAAAGCGAACTGTATTTCATCGTCAGCTTTTATGTACAACCTTGTAATAAACCCGAAGCTACTGAAGAAAATGTTTGACTTTTGACATTTAGTCGGTTCATTATCGTTAATATCTTCACATAAATATTATATTTCCCCCTTTTTAACGCCAGTAAAAATGGAAAAAGCAAAAAGGCTACACATATATCAAATGATTTTCTTTTAAAAATATCGTAATAATGAAAAACGCAAGTGACGGACCACCGCATATATAAATGAAACAAATATCTAGGGCCTGGTTTTTTGAAGGGCCCGATTAAACTGTCTATTTCGAAACAATTCTTAAACATATTTACTTTATATTTTTCGTGAGTTCTATTTCTTGTTGGAGAGAGATCACCCGGTGTTAAGGAAATATCAAGGGTCCTGAAGTGGATTAATTCGACCCTGCATATATTGATTGAAAAGAGAACCATCAATCTATTTTAGTGTGGATAATAATTTATTAATGAGTTCCCAGATATAAATATTTCGTTGTATCTACTAACAACAACAACAACAACAAATAACGTTAACATTAATTTAGCGGACACGAGCGGGCCGCAGGGGGTTGAAGCAGAACCCGCATCACGTTGAGCGTGGTNAATTTCTAATTTCATGTACTCTGGTCTCCGATTGTACCTAAACATCCTTAAAGAATAATTTCCACTTTATTGTGTTATAAAAGTACATTTCACGCTCATTATTAATAGAGATTGAAACTAAATATTTTTTTGTTTTGATGTTGAAACCTAATTAATCGTGAATTTCTAATTTCATGTACTCTGGTCTCCGATTGTACCTAAACATCCTTAAAGAATAATTTCCACTTTATTGTGTTATAAAAGTACATTTCACGCCATCTTTAGGTTGGTAGTCGATTCAGTGAACGCAAGCAAGCGAATGAACAGTATACGATAAAATACCGAAGGATAATGTTTGCTGCTTTGTACGTACAGTAAAGGATTCTACCCACAGCATAGAATTAAACCGCTCAATTCAAAATTACGTGAAAAATTCACACACGAAATACTACCGGGAAAACGCAACCGCCTAGGCTGCATTCTATTTCTGATGTTTTAAATATTTTGTTCCTCAAAGGCAACATTCTGTATTACAAAAATTATAAAAGTAATAACAATACTAATTGTAAGTGCAATACTGCTTCACGACATGGGCCTTTACAGTTAAATAAAAAGTTTATATATTATAGGTGATCCCCACGAGATCGCACAATCACAATGGTTATTGTATAGTTTTTAAGCCATAAATGTAATTTGCATTGTACGGTGTATTTTAATAAAAGTAAATAAAGCATTCTGAGTTACTTTTTGCAATGAACGGTATCCTACTAATATAGTCTTTTATTACGGTTAAAGCTGTAAAAAATTGTATGAGAAAATAAAACCATCGAATAAAAATAAAACCTACTGATGTGTTAATTAATATTAATTTCCATAATATGCATACATATATGTGAGTTGACCATAGTGAATTGATAATGTAAATAATTGAAATCTAATGGCAGTACTGTCTATTAATTACTTCCAATATAATTACAATTTATGCAACGTTTCGACTATTTATCTACAGTCTTTTTAAATCAATAACTAAGCAGCGTTAATGATTAAACAATTAATTTATTATTGAGGTCTGAGCTTATATACCATGCACGGAAATAATCAAATAAATAGCATTACCATTAGATAACAACTTTATTTAACTTCATTTATGAATTATTAATTTCAGCACTATTTTTGGTCCTATTATATGTTGGTACTTCATGACAATTCATTCATTAAAATATTCAAAAAGCTTAAAAATTGGCAGCCTTCTTTTTTAATTCATACATTTAGTGCAGGGTCACGCTACTGTTTTAAAAAAATTGAACAACTTGACACAAAATTGTAAGTTTCTTCTGCATATACATATACGACGTTCGGGTGAATTGGGATCGCGGTTATTTAAAAATTAAATGCCGTAATTAATGAATATTTCGTATTTTTGAATTTATAATTTAAAACTATGGCGCTTTCCGACTCTACCGGAACTGCTGAGGTATAACATGAGAATGGAAATGGACGTACATACACGTCGATTTAACGGTATTCAATTTATGTTTATTTTTTTAAATATAAAAGATTTTCAAAGCAAAAAAGTGTTTATCAAAAAAAATATAAAGTTAAAAAGAAATTTTTTCACATTGTCGAAACATGTTAAGTTT